TGATTTTTAACTCAATCTATTCACACCACACATTTTCTCTAATTTCCGTACTCGCAGACCCTTGATATTTACTACTAGAAATGTTACGAAGCTTAAAAAATTTAAGTGCTCTTCTAAATCAATAAAAGTCTTGCGAATGCTATTTTCAACATGATACAGTTGATCTGAGATCGTGGAATTTTTCCGGCTTTATTCACTGGTCCGTAAGTACACAGAAACTCAATTATAAACAGAGTTTTTAAATTTCATCTTTTTCAAACAGTAGTCCTTCAAGTTATTGTATGAGTGAATGATAAACAGATATTTACTTATGTAATAAATCTCTAACAAAATCAAAATCTCAATCACTTATGTTTTAAAGAAACTTCGATCAAATTCATCTTATGCACTAGATGCTTTGTACATTTATATATCGTTTTGCTACTGAAAACGACTAACCAGCTATTGTCTTTTAATATCTTTTTACTGAGTGTTCTGTATCAATAGATCGAGTTCCATGAGTAATTATCACATTGTTCATATCAATTTAGAAGATCGATCAAGCATATCACGTACATATAGTTGATACAATCACTTGATAAACTAACTCAACTATTAAATTTCACCCCTCAATAATTATTACGCAAACAATTAAGTATTTTCCTATAAAATATCTTATATGCTAATGAGTTACTAATGGATCAGCTACTGTTAATTCGAATTAACTAAATAAAAAGTTTAATGAAATATTATGATATTCTTTCTATACTCAACACAGTTAATTAAATAATATACTAAATTCACTTGATATTGTTTTATTTGAATCTTCCCATTGATGTTTTTGGACTGAAATTGATCAGTCTCTTATTGGCATATGTGCATACTGTGCGTATGCCTCGATATTGCCTTAATTTACAAGCATTGTAAGCAAAGATGGATAGTGGATAGCAGTGGAATCCAGGACGCGCGTTTCGTCCTGTTTAATATACTAAATTGTTTAATGGTCGATTGTGAGATCTGAAGTTAAACAAAATTTGTTGTATTTTGGTTGTAATTACAAACACAATAGTTTACATTCTCTTTTATAATAATACGGTTTATTAAAGTTATCCTTGATAATGTATACTTTAGACGTGAATAAAGCATGTTCAATATTTTGTCACACTATTCATCTGGTGAATAACATTTATTCAACCAATATTTATCATAAATGGACACATGATAATTAATTTATCGGTTCTTAATTGAACATTGAATTTATCAATAAACAAAACACATGGTATTCACATGTCTGAACACAACAAGGAATGTTTATTCTAGATACTATCAGAAACTTCCGTCAAGAAATACACTTGATTAGTTGACTACATTTAAAATCAGTTAATCACATTAAAACATTTTCTTACAGATTACACGTAAAACGATGTTAGTACTCACTAGATTACCATATTTCTTCTATAATGCTGTTAAGAGTTAAGCAGAAAAAAAAACAATGGATTAACAATTCATAGTTATTTGTACTCACATATACATTATCTTCTGACTCAAATGGTATTTGTAAACGGATCATATACCTGTCACAATGAAGAACTTTGACAGTCCTGAAACATTAATTCGTAGATTTTTAAGCAAAAATAGAGGCTAACAATGGAGTCCAATACACGCGTATAACCCTATTTGGGACTTATCAGCAGTATATACCTGTACCCCAGTGTTAATTTTTACACTGAGACTCGAACCCAGTCCTTTTTGCATCAAATACCCAACAGGTTATCCCTTGAGTTACTCAGCTCAAGCAAGAGCGCAAATGAACTATATTTAATTTGTAAGGGTTTGAATCTTCCCATAGCCAATTTTATAGACTACAGTTGATCAACCATTTCTGAAATATGTTCATCCTGAATGGACTGCCTAGATATTGCTATTAAGTCACAAACATCTTTAAAGAAAATTTAGTAGCACAATTCATCCCCATTGTACAAACCAGTGGCTGTTTGAACTCAGTAGCTCACTGAATAACCCGTAGGGTATTTGATGCAAAAGGGATTGGGTTCGAGTCCTAGTGTGAACATCAACACTGTGCTACAGGTACATCCAGCTAGTGAGTCCCACATAGGGATAGATGAGTGTTGGACTCCGTTGTTAACTGCTATAAAACGTTACCTAAAAATGCTTGACTTAATAGCAATTTCCAGGCAATCCATTCAAGATGCATATATACCAAAGGACACCGATCTATCCAGAGATTGTAAAATACTATACAAAGCATTTCTCTAGAGAAAAACGTTTGCTATACATTCCTAGGTACACACTAACTCTCAAAATTACTCTATTAATTTTTAGAACTTAAATCTTCAGCTTTGTTTTTTCTTCTGTAATTTATACACCCAAATTTCTATACGTTGATTAATTCGTTCACTTCTCTCACATATTTATTTGTAAAAATACTATTCTGCATAAAGCATTGTTAACAAAACTTCAATTAGAGGCTATTTGGTGAGTAGTTCGAGTTTGATGTTTCAAAATTATTATTTTAATAAATAATTCGATAATACTCCTGAATATTAAATTAATTTCTTAAACATACTGTAATGTTATTCATTCTTCTTGGATAATTCAGCATAGTTTCTTGGAATTGGACTTCCGTTATATATTTGCTTAGATAACAGTTTAACTAAGTGCATTTCCACTAGATATAATTAGTTATTGTTAGAAACTAAGGTATTACATTAATGAATGATGAATTCGAAAAATGAGAAATAATGATCTGATACACATTAAGACCGTTTATTCTACTCAAACATCACAAAAGACTACCACGGACATCGCATATAGGATCATTCGCAATATAATACATGACTGACAAAGTAATCATGCTGTTTATATCAACAAATCCCTCTTAATCTCACTTCGACTATGATCACAAATGCATCGCTAACATAATCAGAACAAAAATATTCGTAATGCTTAAAGTGTACTCAGGCTATTGATAGTTCAAACGACCAAACACAGGACAAGTATACAGCAAAATACACTAAAATTCCAATAGAAAAAATTACTATAGTTCATTTAACTACCACATTCAGACTAGTTAATCATTCATACAATGGACGTATAAACAAAAGTTCAAAGTTAATCGTTTGAATAAACGTAGAAAGTAACACATGAAACTAGAGTTAAGCATTAAGTTTTCATATCTTGTAAAGTAAAAACATGTTAAGACTCACACGTTGTCAAGTCCTCATAACATAATGAATAGAAACAAACTTTATACCTAAGAGATTAAATTAACACGCTAAAATGGTTATCTATAATTAAGTCAAATTTTTTTAATTTTAACCGTATTTGAAACAGCGTTTTCACTAATGACATCCAGATGTGATTCTGCACATCAACAGTACAACTACAGGATTGAAATTGTAAGACACGCCGGGACCACGACGATCACTAATGCCCTGGCTCCAGGTGGAGGATCGCCACCGCACTACGGCGTGTTGAAGGCTACGACGATCCTTAATCGAGCTCGCTCGGACGCGTAGTTTTTGTCAGAGGGGAGGTATTCGGATCATCCCTTTGAATAACAATACAGGCCCCCGAATGCCCTGGTACGGTCGAGTGGAGAGGGCCCACTCCGCCTCTCGAACAGCCACGCGAATACAGCCTCTGCAGGGGAAGTCCTACTCATTGCACTATTGTTGTTTTCGAAATTAAGAGGATGAAAATCGAATGTCCTGCACTTTACCGGGCCCGTCGACACGGAGAGTCCACCTAGGGGATTTGAGAAACCATCATTTCAAACCAATAGTGCACATAGGCTCAAGGATCCCGAGAGAACAAATGGAGTATGAACCAATAGTTGGTCACCGGCTATCATGGGACTGCAACTCCTCACGATGCTCCACTACCTTATGGATCAGACCTTTGTGTCAAAGGCTCGGGATGCGGCTCCCTAAGAAAACCACCCTGGATGGTGACCAGATAGAAGTAGTCGAGAAGTTCGTGTATCTACGTAGCTGCATAAGTGCTGGTGGTGGCGTGAGTGATGAGATCAGTGCAAGCATAGTGAAAGCCAGAGCGGTTTATGCCAATCTGGACCATCTTTGGCGCCTTCGTGATGTTAGTCTGGCTGTAAAAGATCGGATCTACAACGCGTCGGTGAGAGCAGTTTTGCTCTATGCTTGTGAAACCTGGTCTCTCGGAGTTGAGGATGTTAGACGACTCTGTGTTCGATCATCGCTGTCTCCGAAAGATTGTTAACATCCAGTGGCAACATCATGTCAGTAATGCAGAGGTTCGGCATCGTGTGTTCGGGCACAGAGACAACAATGCAATTGGTGTCACCATCTTGAAACACTGACTTCGGTGGCTTGGACATGTTCTACGAATGTCGTCCCAGAGAATTCCACGTCGTGCATTATTTGCCGACTCTGGGACTGGTTGGAAGGAGCGGAGAGGTGGTCAGTGCATGACATGGTGTCGTGGTATGAAAGAAATTTGCAAAGGACTGGTTGTGTTGGTCCTTCAAGACCCCCTGGTTGGGGTCCGAGAGATGGTGCTACACAGTGGCTAGAGACGTTATCAGATATGGCTCAGAATAGAAGCCAGTGGCGATCCTGTTGTAACCTTCGTTTACTTTCTCCACAAAACGTTGTTGTAACTTCCTTAATTGAAAGAATTCTTTCTGGTTGTACCTTTCCGTCCCCCCCCCATTATTATTATCATTACACTACCATACACTAATCTGCGGTCGTTATTGTTTTCTGTTTTTTCTTCTCTCTTATAAGCACTTCATATTCTTTTTGTCTTCCCATTCTCAATGTTATTTTGTGGCGCACATATATTTGGTGCCCCCTTGTACCAATATTTATGTGTTCAAATAAATAAATACGCCAAAAATGATGTTGACAAAATAATAATTCTTATCTTAGTTTTCCTCACTTGTCAATATTATCATAACTTCTTCAACTTAACAATCACATATAATTCATACCTTAGTTTATATGTTAGGAAAGAATAAAAAACTGTATATATATATACTCTGCTATGTTTATTTATCTTAATGACATTTCTTGAGGAATGAAAACTTTCCTGAAATGTATCACATCTATTCTTACTCGAATGTAAGTTGTTATCGTTAAAAACTTTCATTGAATGTATTCACGATCTGGCATACCTATTTAGTCGTATTACATCCGCTTTCATATTACAAGTATCTCTCGTTGTATTCTTACCTTAAACTCAAACTCATACAAATCGTAATACAAAACAAGTTAGAACTAAACATAAATTAGAGGAAAAATGTTCAAAGTTTTGATATAAAAAATAAAATTTGACATTGAACAAATGAACAAATTGATACATAATGCACAAAGTGGATGAAATATTAAAGAGAGAAAACGAAAAACAAACAACTCAACGGTATTTATCTCACTTTTCACGCGACTGAACTTAAAAATCTGACTCCTAAGAAATTAAGTTTAAAAAAAGAGTAAAAATTGCACACACAAGAAGAATAAAGAAAAACAGATTTTACATATACATACTACAGTTTTTATACATTTGAAAACAAGAAAACACAATAGGGAAGATTATGTATACAAAGTATGATAGAAGATTGGATTGAATGAGGACACAATAACAAATTATATCATAAACAAGATAGAAACTGATCGAGAAAAAGTTCAATAGATTATAATAATGTTGTATACTTTTAAAATATTTATATGTGGAAAATATATGAATCACTAAAAATGCTGCTTGAAGGTAAATATTGTTTCTCATATGATTGACAGAATATGTGGCTCGTCGATTCATAACTTTTTAATTAGTAATTAACAATTTCGTTCATGATACCTATTCTGCAAAATAAAAACATTTTGCCATTAAATTTAAATATATACATAGTCTAATCATTAAAAAGATCTTGTTTCAACATGATATCGCTTTCCTATAATGCTCAAACTGACAACAACAAACTCCAGTGCAAATGAACATTCTCATAATAACCTCATTACTTGGAAATCTTTTTAAACACAATCGACATTGATTTATTAAGCTTTTTATGAGTATACATATAAAAGTGAATAGTAAACTTTGACAAATGAATTAGTTGTGTATCTCACAGTTATCAACCATAGATGAACATTTCAAAAATGTCAAATGTGACAAAGATTGATGGCTGAAGCTTATGTCAAATTATTAACAAGTGTTGGATTTTTAAATACATGGTGATAAGTCTAATGTTTCTACATGCATTTCAGACATTTCGAGAACTAATGACCAAAATTAATACATAGAGAAGGGAATAGAATTCCGGATGTTCACTGTAAGACGATACCCCTGAACACTAATAGATAGAGCACAGTAATAGAATTGACTTAAATGAAGCCATTAATAATAATAAGTGTGGTTACTTGTCATGTGTTTTAGTCAGTGAGTTAACGTTCGTTAACTTTCAATCAATCCTAGATCTTTTTCTACATCCTAGTGTTTACATTGGTTTTTTTTACAGATACTACTAATGGGAAATGATAAAACAACAAAATTTCTTTTGAAATGAATACTTTAACATAAACTTCAGAATACTGAAGCGGTAAAACACATTGAACAACAACTTATTTAATGCGTATCAAATCTCAAAAACTTACTAAGTAAGCAACACATGCACTCAATGGTATCCATACGATAAGTGATAAGAAGACTGCGAAAAATACCAGATTGTCCCAAGCAATGGTGCCTATTGTTTTATTAAAAAAAAAACAATCAACGATGAAATGAATATATTTTTAAAACAAGAGTTTATTTATAGAAAAGGAACAGAAAAACAAATTCAGTAGAGTATGGAATTCTTAAATAATATCTGTTTTTATATTTTTTGGAAACAGTGATAATCAGAACAGTTGGTGATTTAATGTTCAAGAAATAAGCTATGATATGATACATATGGATTTCATAGTTTGGAAAGTGTAGTACATTATAAAGTTCAAAAACATGAACTCAATCTTTAAAGATATAATGACTGTTTATTGAAAATATGATTAAACAACGGACGTTCTACCAATGTAAAATGTATAATTAGAAGTAACTTAAATGTTTATGACATGAAATTCATTTATTTGATAACTGAAAATAAAATAACATCCGCGTATTTCTCTATTTATCTAATTAAATTATGACTCATTGATTTACCATACATCTAACTTGCAGTTAGCGAGGTACAAATTTGAAACTTGATGTACCTAATGAGCTATAAACAAGTATGTATTACCATTAACCCCCAGTATTTTATAATTGACATCACAGTATGTATATACATGATTGCTGGGCGATGGTTCAGGCATTCGATCTTCAGTCGCTAAGTCGCAGGCCCGAATATCCCAATACACCAGGTTCCGGATATTATCACTAGTTTTCACAATAAGAGGATGGTTTGAAGTCAACTACCCGAATATTCCCCTGTTAATAAGTCGGTAATAGTAACAAGATTCTTTATCTCACAACCCAATAATCTTTGAACCACAAGATCAATTTTATAATGTGGAGAGGTTGTTAGGAGATTCATTAATGCTTTTAATGATTATATGTATATGCATAATAATTGATAACTGTGTATTTGTATAGAGAGAATGATTAAGCTTATGTGTGCAAGACTTCAATTCCTGGGTTTGTCTCCCGCCCACAAAATCGTGGATGGGCACTGCTGAGAAGTCTCACACTAGGACGAAACGGGTTTACAGTGCTCCAAAGATTTAAATGGTTGTCCAACTTTGATCGGTTCATAATTTCAATGAAATATATATAACACTGTCAAATACACAAAGACTTTCAAATATCGATGAGTTAATTCATTAAAGATAATAAATATTTAAATGAATATACACATACACAAATTAAAAAATTCTCTTCTCAATAATAAAAATTATATTCAGTGATGAGAACAAGACGAACTTCAATAAAAAATCGCTGAATATACATGTTAATAAAAAATGATACCTACCGAGATTCTTGTGTTTAGAATAATGAACTGGTGTCCAAAATCGTAATATCCGCTTACTTTTCGATTCTATACATTTTCCCGCCATACAATAACCATTAAGACATGGCCGATAATCTTGCAAATGAATATGTACTAAAGGTTGTTTATGATAGTATGAATTAATATTGTTAAAGTCAGTTGTAGCTAGTTTTTGAGTTTTATTATCAACAACAAAATGATATGTATCATTTGGTGAGTGTTTATCATACAACCGTAATATGTTAGACGAGGATAGTAAAAACTTATGCATAGAATACAGAGTTGATCGTCTTGAATGATAAATCATTGAATAGGATTTATAAGATTCTGAATGTTTTACAGTATTCTGTTTAGAATGTAATAGATATTCATTTTGGGACAATGTAACAGGAAGGCATATGGTGCTTTGATTTGTGGTTGAATTTGATGTTGGAAATAAACAGCAAATAAAGCAGGATTCTTCAACTATTTACAAGGAAAGAATGGAAAGAAACATTGACACTTTTATATTTGAAAATTTATTCTACTGAATTATAAACGTAAGTAGTCAGTACAATCTAAATTCATTATTTATTACGTTGTTTAAATTTATATTGATCTATTTATGTATATTAATCAGTACATTATTTTCGAGTTCCATAGTGATGCAATTAGAGTATATAAAAATCAGTCGTCTAATTTTGAATAAGGATCGGACTTTGTAATGGACTAACGAATTTTTCTACTGGACATGAATCTTCTCAGATCTATACTCTATATAATAGTAAAAAATTCGTTATATCTAGTGGAGTCCTGAAATTTCACTTCAAGATCATGAAACTTTTATGAAAATACAATCAGCAAAGAGACTGAACTATGGTACAAAGTGATTACGTAAGCTAGGGCCATATACTTGCTCTTGTGAGACAGGTTACACTGGCCTCACAAAGCGAACACTAAAGAAACGAATCTCTGACCATTACCATGGCCGACTCAAAACGATTATCCAGGTCGATCAATAGACTAACTCTGGAAAATCTCGTAAAGCTCTAATCACGTTCTCTGACCAGAATCTACATTCATCCACATGGTCAAACGAATTGGTTAGAAATTAGAAACCTATGCACTATAGAGGCTTCTGTAACTTGTTGATTGAATTTCACAATGATATCTCATCTATCAACCTTATCTTACTATATTTTACTTATCTTTAGGTCACTACCTAAACTACTTTTAATATTCAATAAATCCGAATGCTTTATAACACAATTTTAAACTACTTCTTAATAGACAACTATAAACGTCAGGCAACTTTAGACACGGTTGTATAGCTTCACTACTGAACAGTTCTTATTTTTTATCAATGATCCAAGCGATTTCTTTATAATAAGTGCATCCAACCTACCTGAATCACAGATACAAGTTTCCAGTCCCAGACTAGAACAAAACGGATGACATTTACCCTGAAAACATCGCCCATATTCATCACATTGACCACCGGATAAAAGTGTTGGACCTGGACAAATAGATGATAAACCATTACACTGACCAGGTCCTAAACAAGGATTAGTACTGCTAGTTTGTGCGCAAATGGTATTCTTTGGTGCTAACTGGCAATCTGTATAAAGAAAGGTAGTAGAAATATTAAATAACGGATCGATTTACGAGGAGCAGTTTACAAATACTCAAGAAAAGAAAAAACACCGTGTTCTTCAAGTTTAAGTAGATGAAAGAACTATACGAATACCACAACCCAATGACTGAACGTCAAGTGTGACTTAACAACTAAGCTAATAAACAAATAGATTTGAATCTCTTATGAAATACTAGACTTTATGACTGTCAATGAGTATCGATAAACGCAATACTCATCACTTATTAATTACCCTAATACAATCTAATACTTTAAACCTACAAGCGATTAATGAACTTCAGTTTATCTGTTACAGGAATGATATTACAAGTAGAATCATTGTGAACAACAATAATTAATCTGAATTCAACGTAACAAATAGGCTTTCGAAACAGAAACTAACCAGAAGTACAACAACCATGATTCCAAGGTGAACAGTGAGCACCTGTTCTAAAATAACACTCAGAACTACAACAAGGATCATGTGGATTTCGACCAGCATCACATTCTTCACCCTCATCAATACGACTGTTACCACAAAGATTTGAAAGAGCCGCAGATGAATCTTCGAAACATAATGGAGCACGAGTAACCAAACAAGCGCCAATTGTCCGTAAACTACATGGTGAAAATTTCTAAAGAAATAAGTATGAGATCGATAGTGATATTCATAAACCGTCATCAAGTAAGTCTAAAATACCTTGATAAGGAAACATTTGACAAGTGCATTACTAGTCTCTTCCATTATTAATTGGTTAATAATTTATTTATACACACAAACATTGTTACAGAGAAGCACCAAATATATGTGTCGCACACATTAGTTATCATTTAATTTGCGTGTGGGATGAGACGTTACCCGGGCGCCCAAAACAAAGCAAGTGGTTTCCTCAAAGTGTCACAAGCCTTTGACATAAAGGTCTAATCTACAAGGCAGTAGAGAAACATTAGATGTAGTCCCATGATGGCCAATGGTCAAGGTTAGGTTCATATACCATTTTTTCCTCAGGATCCTGTAATCCATGTACCGCATTAGTTTGGATTCAGGGCTTTCAAACTCTTCTAGATGGGTCATCCTTATCCACCAACCCGGTTTGAACGCCGGACATTCGCTTTTCTTCCTTTCAATTTTGTAAACAACACTCCTCCGCGGTGCCTAGAATCTCATATAAAGACACATCCACTTGGAAATATGAGTATATGATTACTATTGACATTCAGATGCGATTAATTACTTGTGCTCATTATTACAAACAATATAAAACAATTAGAAATCAATTCTGTATTAGGTGGAAAAAAGCATAATTGGTAAATTAGGTATTACATATTCACGCCTGGAAAGAATTGAACCATGATATCTATCAAGGAAAACTATTAACAAAGAGAATAACACGTGACTTTTTCTCGATTGATGTTGAGAAATGGTACTCTATCATGAGGAATCTACTTCATCGTTAATCTTCAGATTGTCAGTGTAATAATTTTTTTAGAAAATACTTTTTTGGCATTTTATATCCGAAAATTTCACATCTGAAAGAGGCAGATTTAATATGTTGGAAAAGACCAATTAATATGACTATGTAAGATTTCCTTTATATCGTGCAATTATCCAAAGAAAATATCTTTCATATATGAGATTTCGGGAAATAACAGTTTTAAATTATGGTTACTACCTACTGATTGAATATGATGAGATGATACATGAATAAATTAAAAACTAATGCAACTAACTCCATTATTTTCAGCGTAACCTGAAACTGAATAGGTATACATTAAATATTTTCCAGAACTTATAGCTGCAGGATTGCATTCATCTGTGTCAGGATCATGATCTGCGCCCCAACTATGTCCTAATTCATGAGCTGTGATTAATTCAGCCAAAGCGTTCACTAGTTGTTGACCATTATAATCTACATAGGTAGTCCATCCTGTATTTAAATAGAGATCCTTTTTATTATTTCGACGAACTAATTTGGCAAAAAAAGAAATATAAACATTTTTGAATGGTAGAAATATGTATAATTTAGTAACCACGTATAATTCTGTGTACTTTATTGTAACGACTAGTGACAGTACTTGGCAACATGAAAAACTGTTGACTGTGACTAAAAATCAAATAACATGGCTCATTAAACAGAAGTGTCATTAACACTATAATACAATGTGATGTAGCCTTTTCAATAATACTGCGATGTCCGCTATTTATGAGGACAGATATAGGTAGTACGTAGCAGCAACTCGAAATGGGATGTCCAATAGCAGAAGTTTGAAACAGGAACGAAGATGGAGAGTGATCGGAATAACAACTGAATTGGAAGAATGATGGATTATGTAAAGGAAAACTAAATAAAGATACGCAAATGATGTGCCGATTGCATGATTTTGATATTTTGTAAAGTCAGTCAGTCAGCTACAACGTTGGACCAGGCACATATATGCATCGGTCCAAGTTGCCATACCGCATTAGCACAGCAAGATAAACACTGGATTCATAGAAGTAGTTAATTCAGAGGTGGCAATATATAAAAGAAAGATTGCAATAAGGACATAGTACAGGAAGAAAGAATTAGTTCGTAGAAAAAAACATATGAAGCGATTTTAATCTTTTAGTTTAAGGAAAGATAGAGAATGTATACACCGACGCCATTGTGATCGATTCTGAGCCATGTCACCAAGAGTCTCCAACCATTGGTTACGATAGTCGCGTGGACCCTAACCAAACAGTCTTTGGAAGGTCTTCATATCGACATCTGTTGTCTATCCGAGACCCGTATTCAAAACTCTAGTGAAGTACTACAAATTCGCTCTCCATCTGTCACTTCAAAAAGCTTGTTTTACATGCGCTTATCCGGGGACACTGTGGCATCTTCGTCTGGTCTTACTTTTAAACTTATATAACAGCTCGAATATAGTAGAAATTCTGTTCTATCTAAATGACCTCGAGTCACTTCCTGGTTGAAAATTGTATGCTACCACCAAGTACGAATACTCAAACAGTTTTTCTGAAACCACATGCACCATTTAAACTGGCTGCCTTCAACGTTCGCACACTTATGTAGATCGGACAACAAATAGGGCTAGCTATGTCTTTGGAAAGTCTTAATATCGACATCTGTTGTTTTACATGCGCTTATCCGGGGACACTGTGGCATCTTCGTCTGGTCTTGCTGGCGTTGGTGTCGCACTAAGCGCTAGAGCTGAGGCAGCACTAATCGATTCGATCCCCATTAACAGTCGGTTATGTGCTGTTAGATTAGAAAGTTCCATTAAAGTGAGAAGAAATCGGCGTGAGAAACGATGTCTCTTCGTCATCTCCGCCTATGCCCCGACACATTGCAGCCCAGATGCAATCAAGGATGAATTCTAACACAAGTTATCTGTTCTTCTCCAGAAAGTGCGTTCGACAGAAATTGTAGTACTAACCGGAGACTTGAATACTCAGGTCGGGCGTCTAGGCACAGAAGATAGTCGTTTAGGTGGCCGATAGGGACTCGTTGGTCACAGGTGAGATAACGGGGACCGTCTACTGCAACTATGTACAGACCACAACCTGTTTCTGGCTAGTACTAACTTTCGGCACAGTCATCGCCGATGTGCCACCTGGCGTCCTCCCTCTGCATCCCAAGCCTGAACTCAGATTGATCACATCGCGATCAGCTATCGCTGGCGTGGTTGTGTACAAGACTGCCGCTCCTTTTGGAGTACCTATCTGGACTCTGATCATGCCTTGGTCTGCGCCAATCTCACCTTACTTTTCAGTGGCCAACGAAGTGACCGCCACCAACGGATTGATGTTAGCAAGCTGGTTGCAACTTCTGTTGCTAGTAAGTATCGAACCGAGCTAGTTTCTAAGCTAGCATTCCACCGAAAAGTATAGATGAGCATTGGTTGCAATTGCATGACGCCATCAAAATGGCGGGTACAGTCAGTTGTGGGTTCACGAAACGTCCCGCTTTTAAGCTCTGGGTTTCTCCAGGTTCCTTACAACTCATTGAAACCCGTCGGTCTACTCCGGGTGACCGTGAGTTTGACCATAAACGAAGGATGTTATGTAAGGAAATTGGGCAAAGCTTGCGTAAGGACCGAGAAGCCTGGTGGTCGAAGCGTGCTAATGAGCTGGAAGCAGCAGCTGCATCTGGTAACTACCGGAAGCTCTTCCACCTCATCCGAGCCACTGGCAGCAAGAAGTCTGGTGTGATCGAAACAATCTGCGAGGATGATGGGATGCCAATCACTAACATACATCGACGTCTTGGACGATGGGCAGAATTTTTCGAAGGGCAGTTCAACTGGCCTGCTGCTCCGACAACATCGGTCAGACTGTCCTGCCCTCCATCGCCGGTGACGACTGATCCACCAAACGAGGAGGAAGTCCGCAAAGAACTCCAACTCTTGAAGCGCTACAAATCACCTGGCCCAGATGACTTACCTCCGGCTCTTTTTAAAGATGGTGGTGACTTTCTGACTAAGGAATTGACGACGTCGTTTACAAAGGTTTGGGAACTAAAGAGTGTACCAACGTCATGGAATGAGCCGATAGTTGTCCCTATCTTTAAAAAGGGTTCACGTCGTTCCTGGAACAACGATCGGGGGATAAGTCTACTTCCGATTGCGTCCAAGCTATTGGCTTCCGTCATTCTTCGTAGGTTGTTCAAAACAGAGAAAGATTGACTCGCGAGGAGCAGGCTGGGTTTCGTTCTGGTCGAGGATGTATCTTCACCCTCCGCCAAATGTTAGAACACCGCCATACTTATCAAAGGCCAACAATCGTAGTGTTTCTTGACATCAGGGTTGCCTTTGATTCGTTGGATAGGACTGTTCTTTGGGATTGTCTATTGAAGAAGGGTGTGCCTGAGAAGTTTATTAACATCCTAAAAGCCCTATATACAAACACCTCAGGCAGTGTGAGGACATAGAACCACGTCTCCATTGTTCCATTCAAGCAGTGGGGTTAGACAGTGTTGCCCAATCTCACCATTCCTCTTCAACTCTGCCATCGATGACATTATGGAAACAGCTCTGATGAACGTAAGTAATGGTGGTGTGGATCTGTTGCCCGGAGAAAGACTTCTCGACCTTGAGTATGCGGATGATATTCTCTTACTGTGCGATAATACCCAAGCCATGCAATCCATACTTAATCAGTTGGCAATCAGTGTCCGTAGGTATGGTATGTGCTTCGCAACTTCCAAGTGCTAAGTACTTCTACAAGACTGGCAGGATTCCAATCCTGTACTCACCCTGGATGGTGACCAGATAGAAGTAGTCGAGAAGTTCGTGTATCTGGGTAGCTGCGTGAGTGCTGGTGTTGGTGTGAGTGATGAGACCAATGCACGTATAGTGAAAGCCAGAGCGGTTTATGCCAATTTGGATCATCTTTGGCGCCTTCGTGATGTTAGTCTGGCTGTAAAAGATCGGATCTACAACGCGTCGGTGAGAGCAGTTTTGCTCTATGCTTGTGAAACCTGGTCTCTCCGAGTTGAGGATGTTAGACGACTCTGTGTTCGATCATCGCTGTCTCCGAAAGATTGTTAACATCCAGTGGCAACATCATGTCAGTAATGCAGAGGTTCGGCATCGTGTGTTCGGGCACAGAGACAACAATGCAATTGGTGTCACCATCTTGAAACACTGACTTCGGTGGCTTGGACATGTTCTACGAATGTCGTCCCAGAGAATTCCACGTCGTGCATTATTTGCCGACTCTGGGACTGGTTGGAAGGAGCGGAGAGGTGGTCAGTGCATGACATGGTGTCGTGGTATGAAAGAAATTTGCAAAGGACTGGTTGTGTTGGTCCTTCAAGACCCCCTGGTTGGGGTCCGAGAGATGGTGCTACACAGTGGCTAGAGACGTTATCAGATATGGCTCAGAATAGAAGCCAGTGGCGATCCTGTTGTAACCTTCTTTTACTTTCTTCATAAAAAGTGGTGTGTCTCGTTTACCTGAAAGATTTCTTCCGATTGTACTTTTCCGTTCCCTCATTACTACCAAACTAACTTACACCAATCTCTTCGTTATTGTTCACAACCTCATCAACTGATTTACCATCATTCCCTAATACCCTGTGTCTAACCTCACTATTACTTACCTGATGATCCCACCAGATGCGAGCAACATTTATAAGACATATGTGGTCAAAGACTAGTAACTTACGAGTGTCTTCTACTCTTAATGGACACGTTTCGCAGCCGTAAAGTAAAACAGAACGAACTGCCACGCAGTATACTCGTCCGTTAATTGACAGACGGATATCTCGCCTTCGCCAGAGGTGACGTAAGTTGGCAAGAGCCAAGCGAGCTTTCCGAATCCGTGCTGAGATTTCGTCAGACACCAACCCATTACGGCTGATCAGATCCCCAAAATAAGTGAAGTTGTCAATGCGTTCGACTACTTTACTCCCTATCCTTAATTCAAATGTTGACGCAGACCAGTCCTGAAGCAACAACTTGCATTTAGAGGGAGAGAAGCACATTTCAAACATTCTGGCATTGTTGCTCAGTGCTACCAGAAGACTCTGCATTTTATCAGCGTCTTCCCCAAACAGGACTATGTCATCTGCGTATTCTAAGTCGATAAGTGGACCTCCTGGAAGGAGATCAATGCCCGAGAATTCAGTAGACGAGAATGTTATTTCCATCAGTAGGTCCATGATGAAGTTCAACAAAAGTGGAGAAAGTGGACAGCCTTGACGGACACCACTTGAGGTTGCAAAAGTAGATGACAGTTCGCCATAAGCTCTGACTCGACTGGTAGTGTTCGAGTAAAGAGCCTTCACAAGGTTTATGTACTTCTGAGGTACGCCTTTCAATGATAGACACTGCCACAGAATCTCGCGGTCTACCGAGTCAAATGCTGCTTTTAGGTCAAGAAAGACCACCATTGTCGGACACCGATAAGTATGCCTATGTTCTAGAACCTGACGAATGGTGAATATGTGGTCGATGCAGCCACGACTAGTTCTGAAGCCAGTCAGATTCTCTCGTGTTTGCAGCTCACGAGTCTTAGTTAGACGCCCGATAATTATAGAGGCTAGTATTTTAGATACTATATTAGTTAAACTAATCCCTCTGTGGTTATCACAGGATAATTTTGATCCTTTATATATATATATATATATATATATATATATATATATATATATATATATATATATATATATTGGGGCGATCAGTGATTTCGACCAGTCAGATGGGATTACATTCAGTTCCCAGATTTTAGCTAAAATATTGGTCAACCTAATCTCTAAAATTGGACCACCATCCTTGAAGACTTCTGGAACCAATCCATCTGGACCAGCTGCCCTTCCTCGTTTCAGATTAACTATAGCCTTTTGAACTTCACCTAAAGTTGGGGGACTTACTTCAATATCCCATTCACACTGTCTGGGAATGGAGGGTAGTTGTAGAGTAACTGAAGGCCAGCTGAACTGTTCTCTAAAATGTCCCGCCCATCGTTCTAAACGTCTGGACTGAGAGCAGAAGAGGGTGTCGTCTTTTTCCGAAATAGTCTGACTTACACTTGACTTATTAATTCCAGTTTCTTTTATTAGTCTGTAGAGCTGTCTTGTGTTCCCTATAGCCGCCGCCTTTTCCATCTCTTTTGCTTTCGTTGCCCACCACTGCTCACGGTCGTTTCTTAGACTTTTGCTTAGCCTAGATCTGATTTGTTTACGCTCATAATCGTGTTCAGAACCTGATGGGACGAGTTTGCGAGAATCCATCAGTGCAACAGACCTTGAGGAAATCCATTGGTTCTTTGTAACCCTGTGGTTTAAATCACTGATAGACGTCAATGTTGTTGCCATGCAAAATCTGGATCAACCTCATTTTTAGAACTACCTAATTGTGACCTCAGTAGTTCCTGGAACCTATTTTTGGTTTACTCGTTACTCAATTCAGTCTTAATTGGTCATTTTAATGTGGCTTTTTTGCGTCCAGTGAGGCGCAAGCAGATGCGTGCCCGTATTAGGGCATGGTCGGAGTCCAAGCAGGTACTCCAGAATGAGCGACAATCTTCTACCGACCCTCTCCAACGATGACTGATGGCAATATGGTCTATTTGAGTCCATCGTTGGTTTGGTGTAGGGGGTCGCCATGTTAGACGATGTCTCTCCTTATGTTTAAAATTTGTGTTTGCTAAAAATAAACGAATGCCTGAGCACAGTTGCAGCAGACGATCACCATTATCTGTTCGTTGTGCCGGAATACCAAAATACCCATCTAAATGCCTTTCTGTTTGGTTTAAACTACTTATCTGGGCATTAAAGTCACCTGCTACGAGTACTTTGTCTGAACGTTTAGCTTTCTGAAGAAGTTCAGATAGCTTTCTGTAAAATTCATCTTTCACTTCATCTGAGCTGTAGTCGGTGGTAGCGTAGGCAGAAACGACGAAAAGGCAACGACGTGTGTCCCTATCCTTCCGAGTTCTTACGTAGCCGTTTGACCGAACAGCACATAGACGACTGTTGACGGGGATCCACTCTAGCAGTGCTTGTTCCGCCCTCATGCTTAGTGCTATGCCTACACCTGCCAGTCCACGAGAACTTGCCATCGGGTCACCAGATATACGAAGGGTGTACCTCGTTGGCTCTCCGTTTTGCCGAGGTGAGGTCAAGTGAATGACCACACTGGAATCCTGTATGCGTGTTTCGGAGACACAGCACACGTCAATGGTAAGAGACTAGGGTTTTAGCCAAGGAAGCCTGCTGACCGATTTGACATAGGGTTCGTACGTTGAAGGCTCCAATGTGTAGTTTGGAGCGAGGTTTCAGTAGACCTGGGACAGTATTTTGCGCACTAGAATCGTTGGCTATGGTGACACTTGAGGTGGAAGCCGAGAGAGGAAATTTAAAGTTGAAAGTCGATGTAGGAGGAATAATAGGAATTGAAGAGGAAGGTTGATTATGAATACAGTGGTCTTGAGTGCTGTTAGAGGTATGAGGGTAGTTATCACTTCCCGGTTGCCCACACCGTGGAAGGGTTCTTCTGGAGGTACCTGAAAAGGAAATTGGATTAGAGGTGGCCTTAGAGACCTGAGAGCGTGACCGCAGTGCCCAGGGGACAACTGCTTGAGGTCGCTCACACACGACCTTTTTATGGGTAATTTTTGTGAACTTACCGCCGGAGACGGATATCCGTGGGATAAGGTGAGGTGTGCATTTTTAGGGTCGACCTTTTCTAACCCCACCACTCCTTGTGGGAAGGCAGCATCGCTGTTATGCTGGTTGTCTGAAGGAAACACCTTACTGCTGTCACACCTCTGTACAGTCAGCAGTAAGACTTCGCCTTCGGACCTTGGGTTTGTTGCTTTTAGTCTTACCGCTCTTCAACCGACCTGTCTGACATGGTAGGACCTTGAGGAACGGTTGTTCCAGCCAGTATAGCTCGGTTGCTTCATCACGATAGGCGAGTCCGACCACCACGTCAAGGTAGCAACAACGGTTATGCATAGAACAATAAATTGGTCTGAGTCTTCGTCCATTATGATACTTTCATTTTATTTATAATTAAAAATGATTTAGCGAATATATATATATATATATATATATAGTGAGAGGGAGAGAGAGAGACAGAATATGGTACAATAAAATTCTTTATATAGTTTAGTTGTCTTTACGGTATGCTGGCAAATGATTAATAACCCTACAAAACAAAATTTCTGATAATGTAGAGTGGCGCATTAGTTGTTAAAGCATTCAAATATTAACCAACAAGTTAGAGTCACATTTTACTTTAATTTAGAGAGCCAAATACTATTTAGTAAGCCACAAAAAAACTAAATGAATTAAAATCTGCTTTATAAGCGAGTTAGAATTATAATATTATTACTAAACCAACCTACAGATGGTACTCTCTCGGTATTTTGTGAAATAATTCATTTATTCTGATACTACCTTTTGCTTACTACTTCAGCATTATACCGTTCTTCTCAACTTAATGTATAATTATCTATTGAGATTGATTGTGAAAACATTTAAAACACGTTTTCTACGGCAAAATCTATAATGCCTCACCAATTAGGGACGATCGACCATAATATAATGACCTGACAGTTAGGTATTAATTTGTTGTAAACAAAGTGATCTAAAAAGCTGATAACTTTTAATCGCTTTGTCATTTATTTTTGTGCTAATATTTAGTATACAAGTATATTATTTTATTAGATAAAAGGTTGGTTCATTGACTATTGTTCTCATTGTTAATCTCAATTCATTAGGGGTTTACGGTAGTGCGTAGTCAGAATTCGGTTACAGAAATGTTTCAATTACAGTTGATAAAGATTCACTACCTCGTCAATCGATCTGCTATTCCTCCGAAACACTCTGCATCTAACCTCAGGATTGATAATCCGAGGGTCCTAACATATAAGAGAAATGCTTCGAAGATATTTATAGTCAAACACTAGTAACCAAATAATATCCTCAAATTTTAAAGGCCACATTTCGTAATCGTAAAACAGAACGGAGTAAACTACTGTGCATCAAAATCGTACTTTAGCTGGTAGACCAATATCTTGCCTACGTCACATCTGACGCAAGTTGGCAAGAACCAGACAACTCTTCCGCATCGGTGCCGACATTTTATTAGGCACCAACCCGCCAGGGTTGATCAAACTCCCAAAACAAGTGAAGTGATAGACGCACTCAACTACTTCACTCCCTCTCATTACCACAGGCATCTACGCAGACCTATCTTGAAGCAAACTTTTTTATTTAATGGGAAAGAAACGCACCCCAAGCATGTTTCCTTTGTTGCTTAAGTTGGTCAGTATCATTTTATTTAATGAATGGGACTATATCGCCTGCATATTTTAAGTCTATGCGAGAACTTCCTGATAATAGTTCAACTCCTGAAAAGTTAGGTGAGGAAAGTGTTATTTAGAAGAAAGCATCTATGACAAAATTAAATAAAGAGGGAGATTATTTGCAAAAGATTGTGATGGATATTCTTTACAGCAATTGATTGTAGAGTGCAAACAATAAAATATCATCATATTGTCAACAAATAATGTTTGAACTCTACCACTTGTTAAGAAGCACTTTTAGGGCAAATATATCTACTTTTCGTCTCTCTTAGACCTTGAGTTTCAAAATAACCGTTTATTATCTATCTTACGCATCTATTTTTCTTCCTGATTTATATTAATTATCCCCCCAATGTTTTCTATTATCACTGATTATGTTACTACTTCTACTACTCTGATATTCGTACTGATAATTTAATCTCTCTCCGCTGGTGCGGTATGGCCATTTGAAACGATGAACAAATGCGCTAAGTCCTACTTTGTTTATGATTGACAGTTGAAAACAGATAAGAATATGAGTTGCTGATTTCATCATCAAAACCCAAGAGACCTAAACGGATATTCTGTTGAGATTTAGGTGACCGATTTTCGTGTTAAGAATGCATTAATTAATTGAACTAAAAAATTAAGGACTTACGAGGTGGGGAACAAATACCGCCTAACTTCTTTGGATCCGGGGAGGCCAACCAAGACATCCCTAAAATGCCTTCATCTATTCTTTTGTAGCTAAGTAAATGAGCCAAACAAGACTGTTTCGCATCGAATCGACTAAATGCCTAGGGGAAATTTGAGTAAAGCAAATAAAGTATTTCGTTAAATACCGATAAGATTAAAGTATAAACTTGGGTATACTGAAAGGTTATTTAACACTACACATTCTACAACATCTCCTAAGAGTAATCCGCAAATACTAAAACCATCAAGCCACCAGAAATAATTTAAAAGAAGAGTAAACTGATTGATGAGATTAAGCATCAGCACAACAGTTGAGCGAATGGTAAAGCAAGACCACGACTTAAGAAGTCCTATGAAGAACACATCGAAACATGGTGAGCATCCATGAGGTCTTAAATTTGCGGTCTGAAGCATAAAGACATCGCTACAAAATTTCGAGTTAGAATCACAAAATTAAAATAAAAAGATCTTTGTCATATAATACTCAATCATTACCAATTAAGTGGATATACATTCATCTACCATTGATATGGGAGCAAACGATATTACCTTTCCTCCAGGAAAGGTAATGACTCAAAATAATAGAATATTTTACCAGGTCCAACATGTGTCTCTATATGAGAATCTAGGCACCGCGGAGGAGTGTTGTTTACAAAATTGAAAGGAAGAAAAGCGAATGTCCGGCGTTCAAACCGGGTTGGTGGATAAGGATGACCCATCTAGAAGAGTTTGAAAGCCCTGAATCCAAACTAATGCGGTACATGGATTACAGGATCCTGAGGAAAAAATGGTATATGAACCTAACCTTGACCATTGGCCATCATGGGACTACATCTAATGTTTCTCTACTGCCTTGTAGATTAGACCTTTATGTCAAAGGCTTGTGACACTTTGAGGAAACCACTTGCTTTGTTTTGGGCGCCCGGGTAACGTCTCATCCCACACGCAAATTAAATGATAACTAATGTGTGCGACACATATATTTGGTGCTTCTCTGTAACAATGTTTATGTGTTTAGATAGTAATAATAATAATAATAATAATAATAATAATAATACTTCAATTCTGGTAATTAAGGATAATAAGCTGAGAAACAAAATGGGTAACATCTACTTACCAGCATTGTTTTATTGCTTGATTTCCTAAGTGACTTCTCTTAATTTTTAACTGAAGAAAAATTATATAGGATTTGCATATTTCTGTGAAATGTCACAGTATATTATTCTGACCTTAATATACAGCTCAACTAATTAAATATAGATTAACTAGTGAGACGCTATTTCATTGTACCATCCAGTTGACTTTAGATTATAATATTGAGTGGAAATATACTACATGAGTTTTAGGACTTTTAATGTCAGTCGTGTTCTTAACTATACAGTTGGTCAAACGTAGTCGTGGCCATTTGAAAACCAAATTTACGATAAATTTGTTTCGTGAAAACTAAATATTATAGAAATGGACTTTTATCTGACTATTTTGTCGAGTTCAATTTCATTTTTGATGTGAAAATACGTAAATGAACGTGTGGTCTACTCATATAGTAATACTCTTCTATCACAATAAATATTAAATAAAAGGAACCTCTATGATGTCAACGAAATATATTTCGAAATAAATATTTATCAAAAACTTACACGCAACAGGGATGTAGCTGTCCAGATTTTCCCACCTAAATCAGTTGGTGAATTATAGTGACCGTGATCAGCTGTCCATGATTCATGGATTACGATCTATAGTGTTGAGAGAAAAGAGTACCAACTAAGGTCAAATAGGGGAATGATAATATTACATAGCAATAACAATAGTGATAATAATAATAGTAATAGTAGTAATCAAAGTTGGCACACACTTACCTCATGTAATAAAAAGCCATAGCCAATCATTTCATCATGCTTATCATCCAAAAATTTTGAAGTAAGAAACAGATAATTTAACCGGTCAAATACTTTAATCTTTAGTAAAAGAATGTAAATTGTTAAATTAACATGATAACAAATAATAAAAAACTAACAACATAACTGATAGTTTTAGGTCCATTTCTATTTCCCAAATTAGTAAAAAAATCGTAATCAGCGACGAGTGTAAGGCGACAAAGTTTGCGCTGTAATTGTATGGGGTTGAAACGTTTTCGTCTAATATAGACATCTGTAAAAAAAGAGAATGGAAATTGAAACAGAACTTGGTGAACAGTAAATTGGTCGCTCAATTAATAAACTACAAAAAAATAATGAATTAGACAAATTGAAAATCGGTTCACCGAAAAATTGCAAATAAACAGATACTGAGACTCAATGATCGTAAAATTCATTCTCAATCTACTGTATATGAACAACTCCTCATAACACTAATAGAAAGACGCATAGCATTTGGCAACAACACTGATAAAATGTAGTTTTCTAGGAACTATGACCTGAGATACATATTATATCTGTCAGGTGTAACATATCTGGCATAAAGACTGATATAAGCTAATGTCTAGTGCAACAGAAACGCTTGAAATGGATAAGAACATTAACTATTTATGTAACTTAATTAAAAACGTACCTTTGTCCCACAAATTTACAGACAGTTATGCAGTCACTTGTCCTTAATGGATTCACCACAGAAAATGTGAATATCAAACAAGTAATGTCAGCTAAAATGTACCGAATGGGTATCTATGACAAGTATAACCGCCATATTACATCGACTATTAATCAATAATAGCTGCTCGTAACTCTGATAAATAGGGTTTGTGTGTAAACGCCTTTGGATACAATCTAACGAAGAGAAGTGGTACAAAGTTACAGTACTGATATAATTAACTGCGTGAACAAGTGACACCTACTGACAGAAAAACAGCTTGCGACAGGTCACAAACATGCATCGGTTTAAAGTTGCGAAGAAAAGAGGAGGAAAGAGCCTTACAGTTAACGAAAATATGAATGCGAACAGTGGTTAACAAAATAAGATTTAAAAGGGTTTATCTTAATTCTATAAACTCCAGCAACTAACAGAATGATAGCTACTGGGTTTATTTTCTGAGACATATATGATGATGTCTCAAGTCCGGTTTTTATGATCTCCAGGACTAGGAAGTCATGGACGGACAGGTCACGGTCTTATATAACTAGCTTTTATGCCAAGGTACCATATCATAAACTTACCACTTCTGCTCTTCTCCCACACATTCCAAACGTCGGGAAATAATGCATGATATGGAGGTCCCTGGGATGTCATTCGTAACGCATGCCCAAGCCGATAGTCTCGATGCTTTAAGATAGTTGGACTGCAATCAAATATACTACTGGACCTCAATATTACTTACGTGGTGTTGCCACTGGATGTTAACAATCCATAGGAGACAACGATGATCAGAGACAGGATCGTTAACCATATTCAGTTTGAAGAGGAAACGTTTCATGAACATAGGTCAGAACTGGTCTGACCGAAGTGTCGTCTGTTCGATCTTTCATAGGCAAAACAACATAATGACAGTGCGAAAGATGGTCCAGATTAATAATTATGTAAATTATTAGGTCAACTATCACAACTCCATGGACAAAAATAGGCTACACTCATTACTATGCAGAACAAATAATTATTGATTGTGTCATACCCCTGTAGCACCAAGCTGTAGTCATTTCACTAGTGAACGGTTTTCTTAAACTGCTATAGAGAACAAGAAGACGTAGAGTAGGAACAAAATATGAGGCTAAAAAAATCCTTTTCAAGTGAAAACCAGTGTGGAGACTGACAGCAAGGTATACTTACCAAAACACAGACATACTGGGGAGCAAAAATGATATAATTACTCGTTATGACATAGGATTTTATGATTTTATGAACGAATTTCCAACTGTTAAAATCAAAGAGGATGTCGGTTGATAGATGACATGGATTGATGAAGTCCCCGAGTGATAGCTGTTTACGAGATCAAACTATCAACGTAAGACCTCGAATCAGTCAGGGTCAAAGACAAGCCCATTATCCAGAAGAATAGGTTTTTTATATAGTAAAAAAGCGAGCTTATATACAAAATATCCATGCGAAAATAACATGATTAAATGACATAAACGATTGGATAAAGTCAATTTGTGTGTGGCTCATTCTCCAATTAATTAAATCCTGAGTGTTAGGTCTAGTTCTAGCCCATAATATCATATCATAAAAAAATTTAAAAGTATACACTAACATGATCCTAATGAAAAAACTCTACACAGTAAGATAACTCGTCAATTTAAAAATAGCCTATTATTTAGCTTATATATGAAGTGGCGTGTATATTTTAAAAAAAGATTCTTTTATCAGATTTAAGTGTAATTAAACTACCACTAACTAACCAAATGTATCAGTTTCTAGGGCCAATAAAGTGGCTGATTTATAATTCATCGATTTACTAAAATGAAGTTAACAACAAGTCAGAGAAAGGAAATCAAACACTTACTTTAGTATCTTTTTAAACTGAATATCTTTTAGGCGATACATTAACATAGAATTATTTCCAATATAGCTTGTGTAATCAGACAATGGCTAAGAATAATAATTAATATACTATAATTTACCTCAATAACAAAAATATCTGATTCCATATGAATATGAGCGCTAAGTAGTGAAGTGTATGGTTCCAAATGAGCTAACACAAATGATTGGTTTGAACCTGATACATAGCCAGTATGTAATTCTGCATATTTTGTTTTCGGATAAAAAGAGTAGGTACCATTTGTACTGATAAATCTGACTGACAAGTTAGAATTATGAAACGATGTTTCACGATGAAGAACCAAATACCATGATCTAGAGGAATGAGTAAAAAACAATAATTACCTTCCCCATGCATAAAATACAGTTTGCCTGGTCTGCCGTCCACTAATATCTCGAGCGATACGAAAGGATGGTCTCTCAAATAACTCATATTGTTCAAGCTGTGAAAATACATCAGATTCTAAAAACATTTTGAAATATCACGGAACACACTACCTATCCTCAGAGTATACTGAATAAATAAAGTCAGGAAAAACAGTAAACACATTGTTCACAGCCAATTATTAGCTGTATAAACCTCATACTGTATGTCTTTAAACGTAAAATTAAATATCAGGGTCCGGAAGGTTTATGGAGTGATATGCATTGTATTTAAATCAAAAAGATTACTGAATGAGCACAAAAACAACGATTAGAAAGTCTGAAATCGAAATTTTTTGAAAAAAAAAGTTAATTAAATTGGAAACAAATAAAACTAACAAATTGTAAATTATTTGCAGATACAGTCAGTTTCAACAGTGATAATATGGGTGGTAATTAATCAAAAGATCCCGCTGGAAACTGTCCAGTCAGGATACTAGGTGATTTGTGATACGGAAAAATAGAGAAATAGAACATGTTGAGCGATACACTTGTAATTCAATGATCAGTAAATTTTGGTAGTTTGTTCTCTTCAGTTAATTGCCCATATTCGAAAAATATTAACAGCTTGAGTTATATACGTCAAGGTGAATCACTGATGAGCATATTGTGAAATGAAAAAACTGTTCTTTAGTATTTCGATTACACTTCGGATTGTGATTTTATCGAGTAGCTACATCGTTAAATTCCTAAAGAAATCTTTTAATTTGAAATCGGACTCAAATATTGACATACTAGCAAGCCAATTTGATCTAGTCATATTAAATCCCCAGTTAACCGAATTCACTAAACTGACACATGACAATGCACTGACTCTTGGGCTACATTTATGATCGGAAGCCTAAACCAGGACACGTGAATCTGAATCAGTCAGCTACAACGTCAGACCAGGAACATACATGCATCGGTCTACGTTGCCTTGCCTCATTAGCATAACAACATGAACACCAAATTCGTAGAAGCAGTTACTTTCATGTTAGTAATATATAAAAGAAATATTGTATATAAGGATATATTACAGGTATGAAGTAATTTTAATCTCTCGGTTTAAGGGAAGACAAAGAGTGTATACACCTACTCCATTGTGATCGATTCTGAGCCATATCACCCAGAGTCCCCAAACATTGGTTACGATAGTCGCGTGGACCCTAACCAAGTAGTTCGCATCCACCAACATGGCTCAGACCAGAAGTCACTGACTTCAAGGAATGATGCTACGTTTTGGTTTGGCCACCCCTAACTTCCTTCCAACCATCTCCAAACCCGGTTAGCATTTCACGTCGTGGTAATCGGTGTTCAGGCATACGTAACACGTGGCCCAACCATCTCAGTCGATGAAGATTCACAACCTCATCAACTGATTTACCATCATTCCCTAATACCCTGTGTCTAACCTCACTATTACTTACCTGATGATCCCACCAGATGCGAGCAACATTTATAAGACATATGTGGTCAAAGACTAGTAACTTACGAGTGTCTTCTACTCTTAATGGACACGTTTCGCAGCCGTAAAGTAAAACAGAACGAACTGCCACGCAGTATACTCGTCCGTTAATTGACAGACGGATATCTCGCCTTCGCCATAGGTGACGTAAGTTGGCAAGAGCCAAGCGAGCTTTCCGAATCCGTGCTGAGATTTCGTCAGACACCAACCCATTACGGCTGATCAGATCCCCAAAATAAGTGAAGTTGTCAATGCCTTCGACTACTTCACCCCCTATCCTTACTTCAGGTGTTGACGCAGACCAGTCCTGAAGCAACAACTTGCATTTAGAGGGAGAGAAGCACATTCCAAACATTCTGGCATTGTTGCTCAGTGCTACCAGAAGACTCTGCATTTTATCAGCGTCTTCCCCAAACAGGACTATGTCATCTGCGTATTCTAAGTCGATAAGTGGACCTCCTGGAAGGAGATCAATGCCCGAGAATTCAGTAGACGAGAATGTTATTTCCATCAGTAGGTCCATGATGAAGTTCAACAAAAGTGGAGAAAGTGGACAGCCTTGACAGACACCACTTGAGGTTGCAAAAGTAGATGACAGTTCGCCATAAGCTCTGACTCGACTGGTAGTGTTCGAGTAAAGAGCCTTCACAAGGTTTATGTACTTCTGAGGTACGCCTTTCAATGATAGACACTGCCACAGAATCTCGCGGTCTACCGAGTCAAATGCTGCTTTTAGGTCAAGAAAGACCACCATTGTCGGACACCGATAAGTATGCCTATGTTCTAGAACCTGACGAATGGTGAATATGTGGTCGATGCAGCCACGACTAGTTCTGAAGCCAGTCAGATTCTCTCGTGTTTGCAGCTCACGAGTCTTAGTTAGACGCCCGATAATTATAGAGGCTAGTATTTTAGATACTATATTAGTTAAACTAATCCCTCTGTGGTTATCACAGGATAATTTTGATCCTTTATATATATATATATATATATATATATATATATATATATATATATATATATATATATATATATATATATATATTGGGGCGATCAGTGATTTCGACCAGTCAGATGGGATTACATTCAGTTCCCAGATTTTAGCTAAAATATTGGTCAACCTAATCTCTAAAACTGGACCACCAGTGCAATGGATGTAGTAGAAATCCAATGGTTTTCCGTAACATTTTGGTTCAAATCACCAACGATTATCGCTGCTGTTTCCATAGATGTTCGTATATATTCCCAAGCAATATCTGGGTCAGCCTCGTTTTCGAAATTGCCCAAGTGTGAGTTCAGTTGTTCACGGAATTTACCTTTGGCTTTCACATCACTGAGTTCGACTGAAATGGGTCTTCTTAATGTGGCTTTTCTGCGTCCATTGAGGCGCAATTAAATACGTGCTCTTATTAGAGAATGATCAAAGCCTAAAAATGTATTCCAGAACGAGCGGCAGTTTTCTACCGAGCCTCTCCAACGATGACTGATGGCAATAGGGTTCATCGTTGGTTTGGCGAAGAGGGTCGTCCTGTTAGACAATATCTCTATGTTTGAAATTGGTGCTTGTTGAAAATAAACGATCGTCTGAGCGCAGTTGCAACAGGCGGTCACCACTATTTGTTCGCTGAGCCGGAATACCGAAATACCCACCTAATTGTCTTTCTTTTTGGTTTAAGCTACATACTTGGGCATTAAAGTCAGCTGCTACGAGTACTATGTCTGAGTGTTTAGGGTTTTGAAGAATTTCAGTATGGTTTCTGTAAAGTTCACCTTTCACTTCATCCGGGCTGCAGTCAGTGAGGGCGTAGATAGAAACGACGAAAAGGCAACAACGTGTATTTCTATCCTTCCGAGTTCTTACGGAGCCGTCTAGCCGAACAGCACACAGGCGACTGTTAACAGAGATTTATTCTAAGAGTGCTTGTTCTGCCCTAATACTTAGTGCTATGCCTACAACCGCCAGTCCACGAGAATTTGCCACTGGATAGCCAGATACACGGAGAGTTTATCTCGTCGGCTCTCCGTTTTGCCGAGGGGAGGTCAAGTGAATGACCACATCAGGATCCTGAATGTGTGTTTCGGAGTCATAGCATACATCAATCGTACGAGTTTCTAGGGTCTTAGCCAAGGAGGCCCGCTGGTTGATTGGACATACGTTGCATACGTCGAAGGCTCTAATGTGTAGTGTGGAGCGAGGTTTCAGTAGACCTGGGACAATATTTCGTGCACTAGAATCGTTAGTGATGGTGACGCTTGAGGAAGAAATAAAACAAGAAATTTTAGAATTGAAAGTCAAGGTAGGAGGAATAATAGGGATTGAAGAGGGAGATTTATTATGAATATCATTGCAAAAAATACTAATCTATATCTTTTCATCATATAATTAACAATGTATTTGTTGGCTGATCGAAGAGCCGGTCACATGCGACCCTTTAGTGAGCAATTTTCGTGCTAGCTTCGTACTCGTTGAAACCTTACCACCGGAGACGGAAATGCGTGGGATAAGGGTGAGATGTGCATTTTTTAGAGTCAACCTTTTCTAACCCCGCCCTTCTTTGTGGGAAGACAGCATCGCTGTCATGCTGGTTGTCTGGGGGAAACATCTAACTGCCGTCACACCTCCGTGGTCAGTGGTACGACTTTGCTCTCGGACCTCCGGTTTGCTGCTTTTAGTCTCAATGCTCCTCGACCGATGTGCCTGGAATGGTAGGACCTTGAGGAAAGACTGTTCCAGCCAGTATAGCCCGACTGATTCATAACGATAGGCAAGCCCAACCACCACTTCAAGGTAGCAGCAACGATGGTGTCAATATAACTGAGCTCCAAATCAGAATTAAACAGTTGAAATCTGGGTGTATAAGTCGTTGAGTGATGGACATCGCGCAACAATAAAGGCCAAACAACTAATAATCTTTTAATATACTGGAAAAATTCACAAACAGTGAATAAAGATTACGGTTCATAGTCATAATCATAAGTATAACAGTTAAGAAACTGAAATAAAGATGCTTAGTATTGCTGAAATAATTGCAGTTCATGTGGAATTTTACTGTTACCAAATAATCTATAAAAATACATAAATTTAGACTGAAATAGAATCCCACAAAGTATTTGGTTTATTAATCATATTTCTTTTACTAATAATTAATATTTTAGTCAAGAAAGCGATAAAATTGATAAGGATATGGTAGATCGGGTTTTTCTTCCTATAAGGTGGTGGGTAAGTAAATTAAGTACTATGCCATTTAGAGTTTGAGCCCTTGACATACACAAAAGTGTACTATCCCATTCTCATACAAACAATGTGACTACAGTAAAAAGTTCACAAACCTGAACTTGTTAGTTGCATCACCACTTAATTAAGGACTTTTACTTGGCACAGACTTGTTTAAATAAAGGACATCAATTGCAAAAGAATACATTGCTTATCAAGTGGATTGACTGATTATGAATTAACTCACCGTTACATACATCAATACACACTTATTATAACCATACAAATGTTTTTCCCAACAAGTTTGAGTTGGGTTTATTGAGCATGGTTGTTGGGGCGTCCCATAGAGTTTAACTAACGTAAAATTATTAGATGGTAATTTATAAAAATAACTAAATGATGAATACATTATCATACTAAAATATTATTACTGAACATATTACTATTAAACTATCCAGTTGTTTCCAGTCACTGGATAGAATGAGTGGTAATGTTCGTTTTCTTTCTTTGGATGCAAGTGATGGGAAACTAGAGACGTTCGTCGAACTACAGTACATCAGAGTCGATCAAGCATCAAATTACAATTTTAGTCGTTTCATAATTTGAATAGCCCACAAACTCATTAATTATGATGACAATGTAAAAACACCCCCGAATATCCCGGTACGGCTGAAAGTAGGGAAAGTCAACGCTCCCTCTCAAAATACTCTTACATGCTATGAGATAATTGTTGTTTTCGAAGTTGAGAGAACGAAAAGCGAATGTCCTGCTCCCACCAGGTTGGTGGATACGGACAATCCACCTGGGGGTTAGAAAACCCTGATTCCATACAAATGGTGCATGTAGGCTCCAGGATCTTAAGGAAACAAATGCCGTATGAACCTATTGTCGGTCACTGGCTATCATGGGGCTGCATCTGACGTTCCTCCACTATATATATATATATATATATGACTGCCTTGATAAGAATTACGTTTGAAAAACTAGTTTTCCATGAAGAAATACAGCGGCGACTTTTCCTAATTAATTTACTTGTTTCTATGTAATTGTTCGTATTCGAATACGCTAATTAAAGGAGAACGTTTAGTCAACCGAAAATACATCAACTTTCCTAGCAAACCAAATCCCCAGTAAAAAATTTTGACTTTTAAAAAGCAGTACATCTAGTTTCTGGTGATAATTGTAAACACTATTACTAAGAAAAACTAAAGCTGATAAAAACAAAAGTCGCAAGTCACGACCAGTTTAAAATAACCTCACTTTATTATCTAGTCTCATACGCGCGCTTTACGAACGGGAAGTTTAGTCGTAAAGTGATTTGCATTTCTCAAACTTTTGCTCTGTCGTTACGCAACAAAAGTACCATTCTTGGTCTAGAAAATTTGTCTTCAGCTGTATGTTTGTAGATTACTTTTCTTTTTGAGTTTTACCCAAGTTAATAGTTAACTGTGGTTTTGCCTCAGCTAATTATTCGGTTTTTCAGTTTTTGACGTCAAGGCTAGTTTTAATTTATTCCAATCTTTTGTACCATCAGTCTTTATCCATTTTATCCGCTTTTAGTCAATTGTTTTCTTGTTTTACGGTCGTAGACT